ATGCATATCATGGTAAGAAAAGGTTTGCTTGGCCATAAAAACTGTATCAGCCTTTTCGAATGCTCAGATAGTGGGAGATGTTCAAGGCATAGAAGATAATTTAATGCAGTACAAATACTACAATGATAGACGTCGGTTGCATTTCTAAGAAGATGAAAAGCCCATACACGTCCTAGGACGTGGGTAAAGTTTGATCCACTAATATCACCAAGTATTAGGCATATTAGTGCAGGGAGTAATGTTGGCTATATAATTTGTAAAAGTCAATCACAATTCAATACATGGCACGAAGAGGGCAATTTAGGGAGTTAATACAAGTTGCCAACCAAAGTCAGGTACGTGTCAGTCCGTATTGGTAATAATAGGATCTGCGTAGCACTGGAACAATCAAGGGATACAAGGTGATGTGGCTGTACAGTTACTCACTAAGTTTAAATTCAAAATTAGGAGGGAAGCCTAACTGCAAGAGTGGCATAGTGGGATTGACTGTGAAAGAACAAGTTCAGCAATCATGGGAGGATATTTTGACGGTTGGAAGCCCACTTTGACAGTTATCATTGAAAAGTATAAGTAGCAGAGAAGGCCCCAAAATAAAGGACCCAGACTCAGATCAAAAAATCAATTTATTTACTCATTTTTTCCTTCCAGCTTTTACAGTTCTTTATATTTCTGCACTTCAATTCCTGTACTACACTTCATTTCCTGAGTAGTTTCAAATAACTTGTTGTTGTAAACCTCTACGAGACTGGGTCAGATTTTTGCAAGTTTTCATTTTGCTTAATGAAATACAGATTCTGAGATTGTTCTTCACTTGTTGTTATTTACTAAATTCTCCTAACAAGTCACCAGTAAAAGTCTTCTTCATTGAGGCTGATAGAACTATAACACAATTGTCTAGGTAATAAGATATTTTAGTTTACCATAGGCCTCGAAAAAGGCTCATACCATGATTGAGGTATATGTGATGGTCTTTCATAATTTTGATTACTAGTCTGACCATTAGTATGTCCATTACTTTGCATAGGCTGTTTATCTCTGGCCAATCTTTGTTGAGGGACAGTTAAAACTTCCTCCATGTGTCTTGCGTTTGTTGGTTGATGGTTATTCATTCGATCAAAAAAAGATGTTGCCCACCTTTCCATTGTGTTCATTAGCTATTGTCTCATGGCATCTACTAGGCCACCCCATGGATTTATTGTCTGAATAGATGTCTAGGGGGCCAATCTTTGGCTCTGATC